CGCAGGATATTCGCAGGTCCACTCTTTTTGTATAAGAGTATAAAACAATTATTATTAAACAATTATTAATATATTTTGTGATAGAAATGGTCTGATAAATGCGATTCTTTATGCGACCATCTCACGACAGATATGCATTTATTCGCAGGTCTACCGCAAAGTATTAAACTGCGACAGAGATACGGAAATAAACCATTATATTTATTTTGTTTATTAAAAATGCATCAGAATTGTGAAAGTGTGGCGGTTGTTACACGAATATTACTCGACTGTTGTTTTTTCGCACATGTAGTCGTATAGTTTATTATTTTTTTTAAAAAAAAAAGCGAAACTTCTCATATACGCTACTTTAACAGTTGCATTGCACCTCTCCAGGGAAGAAAACAAAAAAGAAAGAGGGGCGAAACATTTGGGATTCCATCTTGCGACTTTAATTCGCATAGTTACTGTTATAATTTTTTTTTTAAAAAAAGAACCAAAACTGATGAACGTGAACGACGCCATGGACTTCCTTGGAGATAATGAAGATTTGACGAATCAAGCTTTTCACGCTGCGGCCGGCGACTCAACGACTGTCGTAACGGGTATGGCGGGCGGCGACTTGGCGACTGAAGGCACGGGTCCGGAGGCCAACTCTTCTGGAGAGGTAACTTCCATTTGTTGCAGTTATTTAATTTAAGTTATTTAATTTCATCTGCTTTAATAGTTAAGAAATAGTTGTTTTTATTTGATAATGTATAAGTAATTTGATTTGAATAATTAACAATAACAACAATAATGCGATTTGTTTAGGATTCATGGTCGTACAAGAGACCGGAACTGATCGGTAATTATCAAGGGCTGAAAATCAACGTTTACAGCTGGCGGTCTATATGTTCTGATATCAAAAACGAGTTGGGCCACGTCGAAGGGGCCTTGACTGCTTTCCAGGGCTCGATCTTTGGTCCGTTCCTCCAGTTTGATGATAATGCCAATGTATCTGCAAAGACTATGCATGGGGTTCTTTCGCGCGAGGTGACTCGTGTCGGTCAGAAACGGAACGAGATGTGGTTCCGTATTGGTAACCATTTTACACGATTCTCCGCCCATGAGTATGTTGTGGTCACCGGGCTTGCTTTTGGATCGTCTGCGTTTGACCCGAACTCAGCGCCTCCTCCTCCTCGTCCATCGTCGATTTTCTATGAGAAATATAAAGGCAAGCGGATCACTATGCAGCAGTTGTGTGATGACTTCAAGGCGGGGCAGTTCCGTCTCTCTCGGGATATGATAGTGAG